ACTAATTAAATTATCATTTGACCTGCGATTAGGGAAAAACAGTATTTGGAACATTAAATGTACATGGTATGAAAATAAGGTTGGAGAGGATTGGAACCCCAACTGAGTGGCTGGTTGTAAGTAAAATGCACAAGCATTCTGGAAAACAGGGTGGAAATTCCTCAAAAAGCTACAGAGAGGTCTACTATCTGGTTTAGCAATTCCACTCCTCGGCCCAGACCTTAAAGATCTACAAGTAGCAGCATGAACATATGTGTGAGGGTAAATAAACAAGTATGGCTACATAATTATAGAAACTTTCATTAAACAAAAATATTGAAATGTGAAGAAGCCATTGTTTCTCTGCACATACACCATCCAGGTCTACACACTTTTCATTTTTTAACAGTTTCATTGACATATAATTCACGTATGATTCAATGGTTTGAATACACTAAAAAGAGGTGTGCAATTATCTCCACAATGAATAATAGAACATTTGCTTCATTTTTGTATCAAGGTGTGCACACTTCTGAAAGCAGGGCTTTCATTTCTCTCACTCCTTCCTGAAGAATTCTGAGCTTGATGCTTCACACCCCTTCAAAACAGCAGTTTGACATTCTTAAGGGGCTCAAACTGTGTGCCAGTGAAATATTCTTTGTGTCTGGGGAACAAAAAGCAGGCTGAAAGGGCAGGATCCGGGCTGTAGGGTGGGTGGGATAAGGTTTCCCGGTGCAATTCTCATAGGCAGCCCTTGCTACTGTCAAAGAATGAACAGGTGCATTGTTGTGATGGGAACCAATTCCTTGGCACAACTCTCCTTGTTTTTTTTCTCAGTAACATAGTTCTCAATTTTCTTAAAACGTCTTCCTAATAAACTCCCATGATTGTCCTTTATTCTTTGAGAAAAATAAATCAATATTTCCCCTTTGGGACCCCCAAAAAGTTTCCATACTTTCCATACTTTTTGACTTGAATTTCACTGGACCAATAGACTCCCTTGGAGGACACTGTTTTGATGGGGCCATTTTGGGAAGGCGTCCAAAGGAGAGTAAGACAAGAGTATCACTAAAGAGAACTTGCCTACAGCCTTCCACTGGACACAGAGACTTGTTTGGAACATGCTTGTGCATGCATGAATTGGAACACTAGTAGCAATACCTTTTAACTTACGTATACATATTCCACACAGAATTTCCCCCATGGGATTTTGCTCATCTTTACAGTTCATTATTGGTAATAAAGAAATGTTGAGTACTATCAGTTTTTAGAAACCTATCACTGTTTTGTTTGTGTGCTGAAGTGAAATTACTTGGCATGGCTCTTCCATCCCTGTCTTTATAACTCCCACCAAATGACTGAATGAGACCATGCAAATAAGGCGTGGGATG